CCTTAATACTTAGTTTTTCCAACGTCTGGGTAGTTCTTTTTTAATAAAAAGCTGCGTTAATAACCAGTATTAATATGGGAAAAGTCGGTCTTTCCCGACAAACAAGCATGATTGCTTATTTGTGCTTTTTGCAACAAGCAAACGGCTCGTATTTGTAAGATATTGGTGTGGAGGGGCTTTTCATTTAACCTATGTTACCCTTCTCGTCTCCTCCTAAGGCCCAGCAATGGCAGAAGTTTTTAATTTGATAGCCAAAACTCGGCATCCGTTGAGTTAGGCGTCTTCACCAGGTAATTTAGGACTGTTCTTGACTGAGCTAGAGCGAACAAGGCGCAGGGACTAATGGCTTACATTTTAAGAACTTCTACCTAGGTTTCTGAGGAAGGCGAAATGGTTGGAGTGTCAGTATAAAGACTGATGAGAAGCTGATTTTCTGAAACAAAAAAGCCTAACTTGATACCGTGTATTTCCGTTTGGGTACAGCATAACTGGTTGGTGCAGGTCGCATGAACGCTTCTCAGTAAGGAATGACACAATTATGTCGGATTCTATTCGTAAAAGTGCGTTCATAGTTTGCGATTTGTTCGCGGATCGGAGCGACTGAATCATAAATATGAACGCCATTTCACAGCTAATGTACCCTGAAAATGTTCTCTGTGATACTTCAGACTTTGGACTGCCGACTTTGAATTTGAAACCCATCAACTTATTATAAGACGTTATTCATGCATCTGTGTAACGAATGTCTTGCGTCGATTTCATGTTGCATTGCAATTTTCAGAAATGTTGGGTCGCTCCACTATAGCAGGACAACGAGCACTAAGCATCTCTTCCTTGTCGAAGAACAAGGTTTGACTTTTTTTTCCTTCGTTGTTTTTTGTTTGAAAGGTTTAGGAAGATTCGTAGTTCTTCAGTTGGATTGTCTAAGTAGAAGTTTTAGGAATTATGCTTGGCTGAATGAATAGTGCGAATGTACTGGCTGTGTACCTTTGAATATATCCCTTTTGCATCTATTCTGGCGTTTATTGCTGTTGAAACAATCTTTGTAATTCCTTTGCAGGAGGTGTTTATTATTGGAGCTGCCCGGACACCAGTTGGGTCCTTCCGATCACAGTTAGCCTCGGTGTCAGCTCCACAACTAGGAAGTACTGCCATAAAGGCTGCTGTGGAGAGAGGCGGCTTGAAACCGGAGGATGTACAGGAGGTATGATATCGTTCAGTTATTTTGCTGCTAAAGTATTTTCCTTACTGTTTATTTGTGAACCAGGTCGATAGGATCCTAGCATGTAGGGATCTGTTTCCATTTCCTCATTGCCCCGCGAGTTCACAGTCGTATTTAAAGACACGATTCTCAATAATAAGTATTCGTAGACGCTGTCCCATTTCCGGGCAAAGAGTGAAAGGGGCGTGGTTGGTCCTAAAAATGCCGCGCGTAGAACTTGCCTCGTTCATCTTCTCCTTCTCTCATTCCTT